TTTTCTAATCACTTTGCCTGGCACCCTGCAACCCTGCTGTGTGCCAGCAGCACCAGCCCCAGGCTCCTGACAGCACAGCAGCATTGCAAGGGGCAGCAGTGCAGCCTTCACAGACCCTTGGTGCTGGAAAAGGAGACACAGTTATCTTAAAGGAACACACGAACACAATGACGGACTGCAGAGTGATTCAGGAGCACAGACCCTTTAGATGGAGGTTACCAATGTCAGAAAGCTCCAGAGCTTAAGACTTCTCACTGGCCCTGTTCAAATAAAGGTAGAGGCAGTTTCTGATATTTCAAAGATTTGGTTCTCTGCAGCCTTAGAACTTATCCCAAAGTGGTAATGGCTTCTAAGCATTGGTCCTGCTATTGGAAAATTGAAGTCTTTGCTAAGACTTCTCAAGTTAATTTGGATGTTCTGTACATATTTGGGATGATTCAGCTTTTGAATTAACATCTGGGGAAAATATGTATGAAAGATCAGTTCCATGACTGCTCCTTCATAGGAGCAACAGACAAATATGGAAATCTTTCTCTTGACACCGAATATGACTGTAGAGCCAAAAATATGTCAAGATTTTCTATCTTGAAAACAGAGCAGAAGTGGAATACAGATTTGAGCTTGCAAAGGATGAAATGAGCAGATGTTCTGTCAACAAACTGCTCACTGTACAACAAATTTTAAAAAAAGTGGAACTAAGACATTTATCACATTTTTACACAAATCAGTTTTTCTTCAAGCTGTAGCTGAGACTGCTCTCCTGAGCATTACTTTCTTAAACACAAAAAATTTCAAGAAAAAGACATTTTAAAATTTTGTTTTAATTCTAAGGTTCTGTTTAGAAGCAATAAGGGTTTTTTCTGTTATCAATATCCTCTTCTGTTGCTGAGTTAGGTAAACAAGTGGGTTTTTTTACCAAGTAGCAATACTATCATCATGTAAAGCCCTCATCCAAAATTTTCAAGACTATACATGTGGAGAATTGTAGTTTGGACACTTTCCACTAGCTTCCAAAATGTTCATTCTGTGGCCCCGTGGTAAATCTACCACAGCCCTTCAACACCTTGGAAGTAATCATTAGAGTCTCCCTCTATGTCTGTATCTGCTGCCATAGGTTTTCAATAAGAATATGCACAGAATTTTCTGCAGTATTTTAAGGAGGCTTAGCAAACAGGTGAATCATCCAGCCTGTCTCCAAAAGAAAATTAGCCCAAGCTTTTGACCAATATCCAAACAGATCACTTTAGGTCCTGAACTAGGAGAATATAAAATTAAACTTGGCACCAACTAAATCCAGTATCTCATCTGCATTTAGTGAATGGAAACTGGTAGACACTTGTATTGCACAACTAGATAGCTAATGTGCCAAGCAATATACCTAGAGATACCTGACAGAAAATACACCGTGGCATTCAAGGATGTCTTATATTCTTGTGTTTGTGAGAAATTTCACACCTTGATTGCCTCTGTAACCAAAAATACAAAATTTACAGGATACTGTATGCATCATTGAGGTAGGAGCCAGATAGGGTGCTAAATTTACATTACCAAAAGGCAGTTGAGCTATTTATTGAAAATAGAAGCTGCATACACAGGTAAACATGCCAGTTCTACCTACAAGTACTGTAAATGACATAAGATTACATTTTTACAATGATGGACAAGAAAAATCAGCAGGACATGTTTTTTCCTTAGAAAGTACTCCTTTATTTTTGAATCCAAACTAACACCAAATTAAGATCCATTAACCATTAGAAAAAATTCGCTTTTTTCATTGCAGACAGTTATTAGTCATTCATAGTTCTAATAAAGAAGGTATTATTATACAGATGCCTAGCAATCTTATGGTCACATTTAAACAATAATTTGAAAAAAGTATACGTTCAACTCAATTTTACAAACTGGCATTCCAATTATTACTTATTCACTGACAGTTATGCACTTTACTCTCAGCATGTATTGTGAATTTGCTCTGTAGTCTTGACTCTTGACCAAGATTTTTTAAAATTTCTTTGTAGTGATATTTTTAGAGCACATCACAGAACCACAGAATGAGTCAGGTTGGAAGGAGCCATAGTGGGTATATGGTCCAACCTACCTAAAGCAGAAAAATCCTAGAGCACAATTGCACAAAATGCAGAATTAGGCAGTTGTTGAATATCCTCGGTGTAGGAGACTCCCCAACCTCTCTGGACAATGTGTTCCAGTGCTTGGTCACTCACACAGTTAAGAAATTCTTCCTCATGTTCAAGTGGAACTTTTAGGGCATCATTTTCTGCCCATTGCCTCTTGTTCTATTGGTTGGCACCACCCAGAAGAGCCTGGCTCTATCCTCTTGACACTCCCCTTTAGAATTATATGTGTTAATGAGATCCCCTCTCAGTCATCTATTTTTGAGGCTAAACTGGCCCAGCTCCCTCAGAACTTTCCCTTTTAAAACTTGGGTAATCAGAAATTATTACAAAACCTATACAAAGACTAATTTCATAGTATTTTGATTGTAATCTAACAGTTATATTTTCTTCATATACTGGTGGTTCTTATTTGTTATTTGGGTAATCCTTGTGTCAGTGTGAACAATCAGTATGCTGACAGCCATAAAAGCTTATAAAAATGAACAGCACTGCACTACAAAATCAGAAATCTTGTTGAAAATATTCTCTTTGAAACAGTCAGAGATCTGGCCTTTTATATAAAACTCCCAGTGCATGAAAGATGGAGCTCTTCCAGTGCTGCTTGCTATACTTTTGTTTTAGCATTAAGGGACATTAGAACTGGGAAAGAAGCACAAACAAAAACTTTGTGTACTGACTTTTTGAATATAGTTAAAGATAATGCTTTTCTTGACCTATCCATATAATTTTAAGAGGCATTTTAGGGAATGTTGCCAAGAAGGCTGTCCTTCAGATTTGAGTTGTCACTCCATTATTTTAAAAAGTTAATCCACTCCCCTGTCCCTTTCATATAAAGTAACAGTACCTTTCAAATAAACCAGTAATACAGTCATCCCAGAGAAAGCCTGGTATCTAATTCTGTGCAGGGAGGATATCAGCTAGAAAAAGGAGCTGATGATTGCTGAAGCTCTAATTGGAAGCTTCTAAAGAGCAGGTTTTTTTGAAGTGTTCTGGATGTATAAACAAGTTTGAGAAGAGCTGGAGGAAGTTTGGTTACACATTAAGTGTTGTACATTGATAAATTGGTGCTGTAATATTTTTTTGTTATGCTCATAGTTAATTACCTATCACATGCTTGCTATAGCAACATGAGGATAAGAAGCAGTGGGAAGATGGAAGCTGATGATTTTTATCTGTCTTTCATGATGTAAACACATGCCTTGTATTACTTGTATCCAAATGCAAAGACAATGAGTTTTACTCTGCCCTTCAGCAGCCTTAGAAACCATGGTCAAAGACAGACATTCAGCAGTCCCTCCATAAACAAGAGATGTTAAAATTTTAGAAGTATTGCAGAACGCACATATGCCAAGTTGAAACCATGAATCATGGCAGCTCTGAAATGGAGTAATCCCAATGCCCACCCACTTTTTTTTACAGTGGGCACAAAAAGAGAAATTCCAGGAAGCTTCTGTTCTCTCAGGATTTGTTTTATTAAAGCATGCAGATTACAGAGGAGTACAGAAGCAAGGTCTCTGCAGGACGGACCCTTCCCTGCCCAGAGGGCAGACACATGGTGCTGCTCTGGGCAGGGCCCCAGGGGTAGCCAGGCCCTGCCTTCCCACCCTGCCATCCTCAGAACACACAGGACACTGCAGGGAGGTAAGGACAGCTTTTTCCCTTTGGGCTCCTGGGCTGCACCTGTGGCAGACAGCCATGGATGAGGCCCATACAGGGAACTGGTGCCAGCTGTGTTGGGTCAGCCCTGGCCTGGCAATCCTGGCCTCAGGCCAGGGCTGCTCTGTGGGGCAGCTCGGGAGGAGCAGGCCCTACTCCTGCCGCCCTGGGCGTGGAAGATGTTAATGGCAGTGCAAAAAGTGTTCTGTGACATCTTTCACCTCTGAAGAAGTAGGAAATGGGCATATGTGTCTGAGAAAAAGTCCACAAAATATTGCTAGCTCATTTCTGGTAGGAAGTTTGATGGTTGTAGTTAAATGAATTCAGTAAATATTTACCAAAATCATAGCATGTTTCAGTTCAACTTCCACTGAGCTTTATATCTCTGGCACCCCCACACATAATGCACAGACTTAGTTTTATTGTTCTACCGATTCATCAGTCATTTGTGATGCTGCAAAGTTATTTTTCCTCTTTTTTTTATGGTTGAATGCAGAATGTGAATTAATCACCCTGTTAGGTTAGCACTGAAAATGCTGTACAATTACAGGATTAGTACAAGATTAGTTAGTTAGAGTCCATTGTGGTAGAATTAGAGCTCTTTGGAAAAGACAGAAGTTAGAACTACTACATCTGCCTTGGCTTTAAGTGACCATTTTTATTTCATTTATCAACGCAGTCTAAGAGTTGGCAGCTACTAGGTTATTCAAGAGGAAAGAATGAGCTAATTAAATGCTCACACCCTTGTTTCCCCTCCTTTTTTCTGTGGAGATGGAAAAAGGAAAGTGGAGAAAAAGTTGTTTTGAAAGTGAGAATCATAAAATGATGAGCCATTGTGTGGTAGTCTACACGTAGGTAATAGAGGGGCATAGGCAAAATGGAGTGCTCTGGATCAAACCAATAATTCCTGAAAGTTTGGGGGTTTGGTTTAATTTTTGTTTGGTTGGGGGTTTTTTGCTGTGGTTGTTTTTTGGTTTTTTTTTTTTTTTTTTAATTTGGGCTTTTGTTATTACTGAATTTTTAAAATATTAATTTTGTTTCAAATGTTTATCCAGCTATATGTTTTCTTAATAATCAACAGCTTGTATCATCCTTGAAAAAAGCATCACAAAAAATTGAATAAATTGGAAAATTCATTAATTTTCAATAGAGACATCTTGTTAGTCTTCTGAGATATCAATAAATGTATTTGCGCTCTTTTACCCGTAGCTTCATGGTCACCATTGTCATTCATTTGACAAAAAGAACCCCTATCTGCTAGCAGTGGTGCATCCAGCTTCTGCAAGGAGCTAGAAAAGCAGGTAGCTAGCTTTAATTTTTCTGGAATATGCCATTTTATTCTTGGATGATGTCTGACTGTGGCCTCAGAATTCAAATTTGATGCTATTGCACTGCAGTTTGAGCAACAACTCACAAGGGAAGGTAACACAAACTACTGTATTCCAAGGCTTATTTTCACCCATTTTAACTTCCAAGGGGAGGAAATGCATGTTCAATTTGTTATTTTTCATTCTTAATCTTAGATCAATAGTGGGTTACTTTGAAAAAGTTGAAATAAGGGGGAATCTATTCTGAGTGACAATGTTGTGAAAAATTTACATATTTCAGTTTTACGGAAGTGTTGTGACCTTTTTTTGCTCTCCTGTATCTCAGAAGTATTTGGTGTTAAAAGTTCAAGCTTGTCATGCACTTAATCCTTGATGAGAACAAGTGCATGTGGCATGTCTGAACAGATTTGATTTAGAAACAGAAAATACCCTTTTATTCCTATCCAGAATGGAAGATAATTAAGCAGTTCCAGATGCCTGCATGTGGCATCTTTAGCAGACATGAGCATATTCCTTCATCCTCACCAGTAATTCTATTCTGGTTTGCCCTAAGTTTAAAATGAGGAGGGGGAAAGAAAGTTACCTTTCCTTTGTGTTTTGTCAGTTATAAAAAAATTTATTCATATTTTACACATTTTTTTTATTACTGAAATATATTCTAATTATAACATACACTTACCAGTATACTTTTATGGGGTTTTTTGGGGGCAGCAGTAGGACTACACAAAATCCAGGTGTTTTTTAATGCCTCCTGAAAGCATAACTTGAGATATGTATTACTCCCAAAACTAACTTGATATAGCACTGTGTGTGAAAATGATTATTCTTTAAACCTGGAGTAGGACTGAGGATCGACTGGAACCAAATCTGTTAAGACAGATTTCAGAAGCACTTCTTGTTTCATATGACTCTGATTTAGTATAGCTCTGCATTTAAAATAGAAAAAAAAAGGAAAAAAATGTCAAAAATTGAATTCAACATTATGTACAATATTGAATCTTAGAGAAGAGGTGATGGAATCATTTATACAGAATTAATCAAACATTTTGAAATTTCTAGCATGAAGTTTTCTTGCCATGAAGGATTAATCCCAGGGATTAAACTCTTGCATACTTTTTTCAAAGAATTTAGGTTTCTTTGGGGATCACTGATTTGGGACTTGCTGAAGGCCCTGAGAATGTCTAGCAGGCATGACATTTTCTGATTTCCAGCTGCAGAACTGGTTTTCTTCCTGTCTGTTGTGAGTAGGCAATTTTGGTTCTTGGGATATTGGGCTCCACAGCTTTCTCAAAATCCCATAATGATTCGACATGAAGAAATAGATGAAGTTTCTTCTTTTATCTGTTTGCAGGTTAAAGAGTAGAGCCAGAGATTCTGTGTGACCTGTTACTGGGTCCTAAATTAAGTTATTCAAGTTCTTACATTTGCTAGCAGATTTCTTAGCATACAAAATGAATCGTATCTTTTAGTGTATTTATTTTTCTTTTAGATGACAGCTGCTTCTCTGGTTAAATTTTGTTCACTTTGCAGTCAGTGATAAAAGTCTATGCCAGCTGTCAACATAGTATGTTCCCATAGAACCAAACTGGTGGGAGATAACTGTTTCGTCCACACTTCACTTTTTCACGTCCTTTTCTTCCAAACCTGTTGCCCCCACTACAATGTCATAGAACAGCTATTTTTTGTTTTCCTCACTGCTCTCCATGGAGGAAAAATTGTGCAGTTTGCATGGCAGACCTACAGTGATCTTCCAAAAGATGAGATAAAAGAATCCAAAGCGTGAGGAATACTTGGACCCCTACTGCAAGGATGTCCTATCAGTATTGTAAGGAAGTAAATTAATTTCCTTCTTCGCTGAAATACAGCAGTTCAAAATTTTATTTGCAATATGTGACAGAAAATACCTTATAAAACATTTTCATTTAGAAAACTGCAACACAAGTGTGCTGAGTGCCAGGATGTTTTCTCAAGTTAGATGAAACACAGGGATGATTATATGTGCCAAAGTAATGATTTCATAGAATAGTCTCACCTAATAGTTTCTTCATCAGGACAATTGGAGTATATGTTTGGAAAGAATACTGTGTAGTACACTGGCCACTCTGTTTATTTACAGGCTGCAATGAAATGTGTTAGAAAAGGAAAAAATGGCCGTTGTTTCTTCTGCTGATTAGCATTGCTCCTACTTATTTGTGCGGATTACTTTTATATGAATAAAAAAAGAAGTGCTGCAATATCAGTAGGTATTCCTAAATACTCAAGTGTACTATAAATGTAACCATCCCTTTTATATTTAAATTAGGTATTTGATATAAATCAACAAAGCTCAGTGGTGAAAACTGACAACTCCATGCATAATGCTGTAAAGAGAATGATTTCTCAAATATTTACTGCATCTATAATTTTTTTACATGCTGGCAGAAAAAATACCAACTGAGTAGCCCATGCATGTATATTTTATCTATGTTATAATTTGTGTCATTTTAATCCTCATAGTACCTAATTTTTTTCTTCCAGTAGACTAAATAAGAAATCTATGATTACTTACAGAGTCCTTAACAATGGGAGACTCTATTAAGCATGCAGAGAAAACAAATGCAGCCCATGAATTTAATTCTAGTTTTCATTATCTTTTATTTGTGTATCACACCCTAAAGCTGTCGATTTTATTCTCATATTCATCTTTCTAGTAAAACGTTGGGAGGCAGAGGGGAATGTGCTGAACTGAATTATTGATTCACTTTATGTGAGAAGAAATCCCTGTGTTTTAAAAATTCTAATGTCTTAAGTTACTAATGTATTTTTCCAATATTTGTAACTCTGGAAGTGTCCTAATTCTTGACAGTACATTATTGTCAAAGTACAGTAAATATTTTATGCAAGGTACAGTATCATAAATTGAGAAATCTCAATAGCAAATGTACCTACTTTAGCATGAAATCTCAAATTCTGTTAGGAAATATTTCATGTCACCATGGTGGTGTATTTGGCCTCTGTTCAACCTCTTGCAAACCATTAAGAACACTTTTTCCCCCTTCTTTATGTAGTGTGCTTCTCACACATTTTTCCCCTATTTGCCCGAGAGATAGCTTGGCATAGTTGGAGAATCTGGCTTCACGGAGGACCTGCTTTTTGTGGTTTTAAGCTGGATTGACTGAAGCAAAGGAAAGTTGAATGGCTTGCCTGAGGTTGGCTCACTGGGGATCAGAACTAAGAATCCTCTTGCTCACAGCCATTTTTCTCTAAGCTGGAAGCCTCACTGCCTTCATATTATCCCAGCAAAATGAGGAGCATAGCTGACATTTAGTTTATTTCTAATGATTTACATTCTCTTTTTCTTTGTTCAGATTTTCAGATATTCTTTTTCCCAGTTCATCTTATTTTTGGGTATAGAACACAAATCCTTCTTTGGTTCACATTTTGTTTAATCTTTTCAGGGTATGTGGTATGTTATAACATTTACAAATCCGTTTTCTTTTTAGTATATTTTCCTGTTTAGCAATGGATAAGTTCTTCAGTGCTCATTCTTATAAGGAATTGTCAAAAAAAGCCAATCATAAAAAAACACCCCCAAAATATGGTTTTTTGTAACCTGTGATACTTAGTAGTAAGTATTACCATCTGCATGTACACACACACACACCGCCAAATTCATGTATTCATACATGCATATTTGCACACCTGTATTCATGCACAATACTGTCTTTTAAAACTCAAGTTTTATGTAATGGTCAATTATTATACCACATTTTAGGAAGAAAGGCTCCAAAAAAACATTTTGTTTCCCCAGTACCAAGCCATAAACCTTCTGGCCAATGACAGAATCCCTAGAAGTTCTGTGCCTTCTAGCAATGAGTCTATTGGGTTTCCAAGCTGTAGGGTTTACAATCATTCCCTATAGCAGTCTTCCCTCTTAGTAACAAAATCTCCAGTGCTGGAAGTGTGCTTGTAAGAGTATATGCTGAAGCTGTTAGAATTTAGAGCCCAAACTGTGACAGAGCAAATTTTTCTCATAGCTTTTTTATGCCATAATTTTACTGGTGATGTTATTGTCACAGTTGTTTTTTCAATTCTGAATGCATAATTAAAGTGCAGTTTTCAGATCTGGTGGTACAAGACACACTGGCCTTGAGGGATTGGTAATTATGAAGAGATTCCTAATCTATTATACATGACAGTAGGGAGAGGCAAAAATAAGGAGTGAAAGGTAAAGGACAACAACCTAGAGTCATCTGGGAACAGGCAGGGAAGTATGCGAGGTCAGCGTGTGGCATGCAATATTTCCTTGCCATCTTAAACAAAAATATCTTAATGGAATTCAAAATAAAGTAAAAAGACTTCTACTTTTCTGCTTTCCTCCCCCTGCAAAAACACAGAAGGGCTTATGTGTTGAGATGACTTGTTCTCCTGGGCAGAGAAAGAAAAACATGTATCACATGCCATATTTTAGTCATATTTCTGTACCTATTAAGTGGTGAACATGCTATAAAACCTAAACTGAGGGGAAAAAACGATGTTGTCTTGATTGAAAGAAAAAAAACCCTATAATTTGACTAGCTTTTAAGATAGACAACTCTGTAATCCTGAAAAATTTCTTTTTTTTCTTTAATGGATGTCTCCACATTACTAAGTCTAGAAGTACCTTCAATTTCTTTGGGCCTCTCATGTTGCCCAGCCATTTCTTATTTCTATATTGAAGGAGACTAATGAGTTGACCTTTTGCTTCATGAGCTTGTTCTACATAAAAACTAGAGGTAGATTCACAGATTGGGCTGAAGCTGAAATGCATTTTTCCCATTTTCCTCCATCACAATCAAAAGGAACATGTTCTTGAAGAGTATCACATTGCAGTGAGTCGGGTGATCCCTATCCTGTCTTGGAGACTTCTTTTAAATGTTTAAAAATATTCCCAAGGATTCTTTTGGTCACTAGGAAACTTCTTAACAAATCAAAGAAAGAAAACTGCATAGAAA